GTTTCAATAAGTTTTGCGAGACCATTAGTTTAGAGAATGAAGAGGAGCGGGCCGAGAACAAAATATATAGAAAGATCACTGAGAACATTACCCTAAACAGAGCTGGTATTCTTAGTCGTAATGCCTTGCTTTCTGCATATTAAAAATAATTTTATCCATTATAGGAGTATGCCACTAGTTCTTAAAGATCTTATTTTAAACATAAGTCTAAAGTGAGGTACAAATCAAGAGCTTTGGCGAAATCTAGATAGATTATATCAAAATACTGGTGAGCTGCAAAAAATGACGAAATAATTCTTTACAAGATTTTTTGAAGATTTTTTGAAGATGAAGATTGAAATAGCAAGTAATTAATCGTATTTTTTTATAGATCGGACTAATGTTCGCTAATTTCCATTGAGTGGGTACTAATTCAAAATTAAAGAGTTCATGAAATATTTTTCTAAGTGGAATTACAATGCTTTCAGCACATATCTTAAATATTTAGAGACGCAAGCCGTCAGATCCGAAAGATTTATAAGGGTTTAGATCAGTAAGTTCCTTAATAATTTCTGAGATTATCATTATAAATGCATTCAGATTTAGCATCGCTTTTCACAGTGTCACGAAATGACTTCTAATATGAACCTCGTGACCCAAGAAAATCCTTTTGGGGAATGATAGTAGGGATATATAGGAGTGTATTAGTAGAGATTTTAAAATCTTTTGTTATCGTCCGTGGAAGAAAAACTGATTTGAAGTTTGAGCATTTTTCGAAGTTTTTTTGTGAAGTCAAAGCAATTAAAAGCACATTTTAAGGCAAGAATTAGCTATATTTTAACATAAAGGTTGCAAATACAGATATTGTTTATATTTTTAAATGAGTTATATGCATTGTTTATTTATTTGAAAAATTTCGGAAAAGGGCTAAATGCAAAAGCTTTTGTTTTGAAAATTTAAGGAAAAGCAAAACTGCAATCAACATTTTTAAAATATTTAATCAAGCAAAATGTCATGATCAAAACAGGAAAACTGTATATATTCTTTGTTTAAATAAATCCTCTAGACAACTCACTACTGCTATGATTGAAAGCTGCAACAAAGTCTTTGGCCGACCAATCAACTTTGAAGACCAAAGAGTTCCAGTTGGAGTTTGTGAAAAGTGTCGCACTATTCTTAGAAGAAAAGAGGCAGGTCATGATGTCCAACTTCCTTCTTTGCCTGATTATCAAACAATTAAAGTTCGGCAAACAACAAGAGAATCAGTTTGTAATTGCTTGATCTGTTGTGTTGGGCAAGCAAGGGTCAAAAGCCCAGAACCAGTCTAGCCAACTAACCCAACCAATCCACCAAAAGAACTTTACCCGAAGGTTGGGAAGAAATCTTCCAGTGACTCCAGGTACAAATACTCTGAGTAAAAATCAATCTTTTATCATTTTTTAAATAAATGTTGATGATTAAATAGTTTTAGTTTTAGGATCTTCAAGGCAAAGTGAATTTTTTCTACCAACATCCACTTTGACCGCTCAATAGCTCTTACAAGTCCAAAATAAGATTGGCTTATCTAACAGAGTAATGAACAAGCTTGTTTCAACTCTTTACAGGAATCTGTTTTAAATGATCAATCAATCAAATATATTTCGAAATAAGTTATAACATTTCAAGGAAATTTACAATAGTACAAGTACTAATATAAAGTAAATACCTCAATATACAACGTAAAGTTATAGTCAATGATGAAAGTAAAAATAATAACTGTTATTAATAATACTAATAATAGCAATAATAACAATAATAGTAATAACAATAATAACAATAATAATAGTAATAACAATAGTAACAATAATAACAATGATTGTGATAAGAATAATAATAGCAACAACAACAACAAAAATAATAATTATAACAATAATAATAATAATATTAACGAAATAATAACAATTATAATAAGAGAAGAATTTCATAAATAAAGACAATAACAGCAGCAAAAAAATTTAGTAAAGAGTGATAGCAACAACAACGATTTAGTACGAAGTAGAATAGTTGAGAAATAGAGAATTTTTGATTGAAAAGAGATAAATAGATAGATAAATAAAAAATGCCAACCCATTCGTACTAAAATTAATAATATTAGTATAGATAGTTTAATAATAAAGTTTAAAAATGGCAGATAAAAAACCAGAGAAATTAGATGTTGAGAATTTCAAAATGTTAAAAATATCAAATTAAAAACTGAAGGATAACGAATTGACATATCTAGTAAAGAATGTCAATATTAGTTAGTAGAAATATTTAACTTTATTTTTTTAACAGATAATTAAAAAGCTTGATTTTGAATTCAGAGATTGAATTAAGAGATTTTAGATCAGGAGGTAGTTTATTCCATGAGCTAATACATTGATATTTAATGGATTTATTTCCATATTTAGCAGATTGGTGTTTTGGAATAACTAAGTTTAAGCTACTGATGGAGCGAAGAGGATAGTGACAATTTGTAATTGAAAAGAAATTGTTGAATGATAGGGGAAGATTTTTTGATGATAATTCCAGACAAATAGGCAGTTGAGGAATACCACAAGGTTGCTTATTTTTAATATTTTGGAGATCAGGTATAGTACATTAGATTTAGAGTTATTATACTGAAAATATATTATTTTCAAGGCTTTATTTTGGAGATGGGACAACCTTAAAATGATTTGTTTATGGGATTGTCCCCATACTTGACATGCATATCTTAGATGGGACCCAAAAATAGCATGATATATATTTAGCAGAGTTTCTAGATTAACATAATGGCGGACTTTGGCTAGCATTCCATTAGATCTGCTGAGTTTCATTGCTAAGTCATTCAGATGGCCTTGAAAAGAAAGATTAGAATCAATTTTAATCCCAAGATATTTAATAGAGTCTAAAGGATAAATTTTTTGTCCACCTAGTCTGAAATTTAATTGCTTTTTAATTGGTGCCAGATTGGATTTAAAGATGATAAGCTCTGTTTTGTAAGAATTAAGAGGAAGTTTATTAGAGCGAAGCCACTGAACAAGATTTTCAAGATCATGATTAATATGTTTGTTGATTTTTTTAAGTGATTTGTCAACCAGTAGCATGTTAGTATCATCAGCAAAATGGTAAGCAGTTGCAAATTTAAAAGAAGTATTCAAGTCATTAATAAAAAGAAGAAAAAGAAGTGGTCCTAAAACTGAACCTTGTGGGACGCCATTTGAGCAATTCTGTAAATCAGATTTAGTGCTATTAATGGAAACAAACTGTGTTCTATTTTTGAGATATGAAGTAAACCATTTTAGCGGGATGCCTCTGATTCCGTAGTATTCTAATTTTGTGAGAAGGATGGAGTGATCCACAGTATCAAATGCTTTCTGCCCCTGCTTTGATTCCCTGCGAGTTTCTATCATGACGACATTTGTAGTTGAAATAGCTGCAATCAAGTGTATGTTTAAACCTTTTGAAGCAGGTACTTTCATAATTGCTCTTTTTCCTTGTCTCGCGCGTCTGCGTTTTTCTACAAAAAAGGTTAAAATTTGTTTCATCCAACCAAACTATCTGACGACCATTTGTGATATGTTCGTTGATGTTTCTAACATATTCAGCTCTTTTTTGTTTGTTTTCATAACTGTTCATTGTAGAAGGCTCCTTGTGCACTTTTTTTAATGAGAACAATCTGCCTTCGAGGTAATTTGCTATTGTTGTTGTGCTAACGTTTATGTTAAATTGTCTTAATATCTTTGTTTTGATGGCCACCAATGTTAATTGACAATCATTTTCAATCCATGTTAATGTTTCTTCGATTTGATCTTCGGTCAACTTTTTCGGTTTAAAACCTCCTTTTCCGATGAAATTTGAATTTCCGCTGCGAACCCAATTGTATGCTATTTGATACCTAGCGTTTGCGCGAGATTCACCCAATCTTCAAATCGCTCCGCACATTCAACAACTCTTCTCCTGTCATTTGGAGAAGATAAAATGTAACGTTTCCTTTCAACTTGTTCAGTTGTGTGTATTTCATGCCGACAAATCGGACAACTTGAATCTGGTTGTTCCAGAACTGAACGTAAACAAATTTGGTGACATAAATGTTGACACGGATTTAGCTTAATCACAGACTTTCGGGTCATAGTGTATTGGCATATAACACAACGATCTTTCAATTCCATTATTATTACTTGTGCATACAAAAGCAAAATTTAAGATTATAACTTAAATTCATGTCCAAAAAGACCTTTTGTAACAACCTACAAGCTTAGACTGTGAATTTGCTATTTTAATTTATGTGTTCTCAATTACAAGTTACGATTTCTCAATTACATATTATGATTTCTCAATTATATCTTACGTTTTCTCAATTATATGTGGTGTTTCTTAATTACATGTTACGACTTCTTATTTACATATTGTGTTTCTCAATTACATATAACGTTTTCTCAATTACATGTTGTGTTTCTTAATTACATATTACGACTTCTTAATTACAACTTTCATGCTCTCATTTACATCTTGAAAAGGTGTAGATGGGAAACGTTAAATCCAATCCGTCAAAGTGCTGTTTGAACAGTTTTTAAAAATTCTAGACCCGATTACGGCATTTGCAATGTGATATAAATATTATCAAATTGATATTATTTTACGAAAATATTAGTAATAATAACATGATTAATAATAAATATTAAATAAAAATGTTATTAAAAATCTCAGAGTTCTTTTATTTTAAAGTACTATTTATTTTAAAGTACTATTTTATTTTAAAGTACTATTTAAGTACTAATATAAAGTAATATTTCCGTTGGAGATCGCATGGGTCAGTAAAATTTAGATTGCACTTAGGAGGATTGGATTTAACGTTTCCCTTTCTAGATGTCTCTAACTCTCGATATCTCTAACTTTTTTCCCGGTCCCCCCACAGTGTTCGACATATCGAGAGTTGACTGTATTTTTATTTACTTTCCGGTCCATCTTTTTATATTTAATTTAAAAGATATTATTCAAAACAGCAAACTTTAAGGACTTGCCTAATCAGCAAATTTTCTCGTGGACGTTTCCAGAATTCTGGCACGATTGAAGAAGACTCCGTCCAGCACCTGCTATAAAGTATTCAACTAATATAAAGTAGAAAAGAATAAAAAAGATGTCTGCTGTAAAGTTAATTAATCCAAAAGCAGAAGTTGCAAGAGCTTCTGCAGCTCTGCAATTAAATATAAGTGCTGCTAAAGGTCTACAAGAAGTCTTGAAAACAAATCTTGGACCTAAAGGCACAATGAAAATGTTAGTTTTTACTTTATAATTATTGATTTAAATGAGTGCAGTTTGTAAGTGTAGTAATATTTTAAATACACTTAGTATATATATATATATATATATATATATATATATATATATATATATATATATATATATATATATATATATATATATATATATATATATATATATATATATATATATATATTATATAATATATATAACAATACTAGATAGATAATATAAATTACTTGACCAACGAAAAGCGCTTATTAGAAGTCATTTTTGTTGTCGCCTTTTTATTGACATTTCAGAATCAAAAAAATTTATAGCATGTTACAGTCTTTAATAATTTTTTGTACTATCAAAACTGTTAAAGGTAATAGTGTTTGAATCTATAAAATTTTCTCAATTTTATAAAACAAAACAACAGTTAATTTCAAGTTGCAAGTATTGTGATCAATGAACTCTTAGTTCTAAAATAATTTTTTTTGTCTTTTTGATTAACTTTTTCAGCATGAATTTTAAGTGTGAGTACTTTACTGTACGGATGTAAGAATATTTCACTTTAAAAAGTGTTCTAAAAGTTAGTTTTTTTTTTTTTTTTTGATTAGGCTAAAAGTAGAATTAGGCCAAACAAAGCTGCTCTTCTATTTGAGAGCCAAATGAAATGGAATTTTCTATATTTATAGCAAAACAGTCAACCTGTATTTTAATATATTTTGTTGTTATTTTTAAAAATTAAAAAAATAGTGCAATTTTACATAAATCTCTGATTTTTTATTAACCACTGAAGTAATCAAACACCCTGATGTAATCAATGAATTTTCTTAGGTGCTTTTTTTATTATTTTTTATTAAAGTACCCATATCAAAAATTTAAAGTTAATCTAATGTGCCCTTATTGAATTCAAGTTTACCCAAGCTCACAAGGTGTTGTGATTATACCAATTTGAAAGCTTTGTTACCCTTATGAAAAATTTTGGGGATCACAAGGTATTTTTATTAAATTCTGATTGGTAAAAATACTTATTTTCTTAGTTAATTTAAAAACTTTGTAAATTTTTAAAACCCTTGTATTTATTTCATATTAAGAATATAATAAGTTAATAAAAATATCATATTATTGGTGTTGTTAAACACACATTAAAAAATGAAGACTATAAAAAAAAAAAATTTTATATATTATAACTATAACTATAATAAAAATAATAATTCTATATATTCTATTAGATTATAAATGTTTCAGGCAAACTTAAAAATTCTTTTCCAAACTTTTAAAAGTGTTTTTAATATGCAAACAAACATTACTTCACTCTAAGGAAATAAAAGTTTAAAAAAAAAAAATTACGATTTCGAAGCAAGCAATTATAATGTTTAAGCATGGATTCTTTTAATGAAATTGTAAATGCAATTATTTTGATTGAAATTCTGCATTCTTTTGTAAACACATGCAAAAACTAAAACATAGTTTTACTTTCTTGGTACATAGTTATTTTACTTAAAAGTTTTGAACAAAGTAGTTGTCTCTGAAAATGAGTTTTATACTTTAGTGTTGTTGTTTTTTTTATTATTTTGAATCTGTGTTCTTTATAATAAATATAAAATTATAAATTTTATAAATATTTAGAAAAAAAAAATGCTGAAGTAACTCAATGCAACTAAGGCCTGGTACACGTTTTCTGAACAAAAATATAAGTTTTTTGAATTACAATATATGTAAGTTTTTTCATTAAAAGGTATGACATATTTGGTATGTATGGAAAGATTATTTTAACCACTCTTATAATCTTGAATTAATATAATTTATGAATTTGATTTTTTGATAAAAGCACGTATTGGTGTTTTCAATGAATGTAACTTGACATTTCTAATCAGAAATTATTTGGTAAAATTATCAATGAAAAACCATTTTTTTTATGAAAATTGAGGTTACTATTTTCAATAAAACGTCTAAATGAAAATAATAAAAAATAATGTCACATTAGATTTAGATAACCTATGGTAGCATGCATTCTCGTAAGAGGTGTGCAATTGCACGCCTTATATGACTACGCATACAGTTCTTTGTTTTAGCAATTTGACCACGGTTTTTACAAGTTCTGATAATTAGCGTGTTTAAAAAATACGCTAAAAAAAAACAAACAGCAAATTAAAATGCGATTTTTAATTTAATTGATTCCATAATTATAACGAAAGTACCACAAAATTTCCTTAGTACTTTAATACAAATTAATAAAAGGCAATCATTGAAAAAAATATTTAGATAGAGTTTAAGGCAAAATGAGTACAGAAGCTATAAAAAAATAATTACAAACCGTTTTATCATGGAAATATAATTTTTAATAAAGAAAGTATTTGCTGAAAAAAGAATTAGAATAATCTTGAAACAGTCAAATCTGCCAACTATTTCTTATCCCAGGGCATGATATCATTTTTTTTAATAAACGTTGACTTGCGTATCTTTATTTATTAAAGAATGTTTAATTTAAGAGATTTATGTCAAATAATTTCAAATAATTTTTATTCTATATAATAAGTTATTAAATACATAAAAGATGCTTGGTAAATTTATTCAATTTTTATTTTTCAAAAACTTTTTTTTGAAAATTAAAAATTTAATAAACTACACCTTTGCTAAGTGCGCACAAATTAATGAAAAATTCACAATAAAAAAAAACTTTAGAAAGTGTTTTTAACATGCAAACAAACATTATTTCACTTTACGGAAAACAAGTAAATTAAAAAAAAAACATGCAAAATTTTATTTATAATGAATTCATTTGATTTAAACTTTTAATGTAATTGCCAAAAACATAAAAGAAACCGTACTTGAACTTTACGATCGCTTTCTTCAATAAAAGATAGGAATCGAAATGCTAAAGCACGGTTTCTTTTGAAGTTTTTGCAAAAGCATTCATTTTATGTAAAATTATAAATGCTTTTGTGAGCGCATGCAAAAACCATGATAAAACATAATTACTTTCTTATTTTACTTAAAGGTGGCGCTATTGAAAAAAGTAATTATTTTTTGGTGTTATTTTTCAAGTCTCTGAAATTAATTGTTTTTCATTTTAAATATGTGTTTTTTATAATAAACAAAAAACTATTGATCGTAAAAATGAAAAAAAATGTAAGTAATGCGTTTGCTTTGAAAAATCTTAATCGAAGGTAAAAAAATATATATAAGTAATGCGTTTGCTTTGAAAAATCTTAATCGAAGCCAACGTTTGCATAAGCAAAATTAAAACTTGATGTTTGTTTTTCTGTCTGTTTTTAAAGAAATGCGTGCATTTCTTAAAAGACAGACAGAAAGAAATGCGTGCAAAGTTACTTACATTTTTAAACATCAATTTTTAAAAAAAAAAAAAAAAAAAAATCTGAGAAGGACAGGGGAGGGGAAAGACGTCCTCATGGCCTTTTCCCTCACTATGGATCCGACCTTGTATTAGCCTATTTATTCATGGGAAGGAATAATGAAGATTATTAGAGCTGTAATGTTTTTTTTTTTTTACTTTCGCTTATAATTAAATTTACATTAATGTTTTGATTTTTTTTTTCTGGTTCTTCCTTTGTTTACTTAATCATTCTTTAAATGTTTGATTTTTTTATTCTCTTTTCAGTTTATGGATTTATTTATTTTAATTTTAGTTTATGGATTATTTTAATTTTAGTTTGCTTTGTTTTTTGTTTTTAACGCATTTTTTAAACGCGCTAATTATTAAAACTTACACAGAGCCGTGGTCAAGTTGTTAAAACAAAGAACTGGTCATATAAGGCATGCATATAAGGCATATATACGTGGTCATATAAGGCGTGCGATCGCACGTCTCTTACGAGAAGGCCTGGGTAGTGTTAATTTTTCTACCAAAGTTGTTTTTGCATAAATAATCATAACTTTTAGCCCCATTCAAAAAACTGTTTTTGGTATTTAGCATCATTTTTTGAAATACTAGGGACTTATCTGGTCATCTTGAAATAATAAATTATTAAATTCAGAATGCGTAAACAATTAAAAAACAGAGGCAGAAAATTTTATAAATGATGTACATTCAATTCGAATTCTTTGTTTGCAAAAATTAAATCCCAATAAATAAAAAGTTTTTCGGTTTGCCACTAACAACCAACCAGATTTGTTTTAAACTATTGGCTTTTTTTTTTTTTTTTTTCTTTACGAGTTTGTTTGTTCTATGCTTTAGTTGCATTGAGAATGTGTTTCTTTTAAAGCCAGTATTTTGTTTTTTAATGGAAAAAAATAAATTAAAAAATTTTCTTTTTCATTTTTATTGTCAGATTTAAAATCCATCTATTGTTATTAGTTGCCACATCATTTTTCATAAAGTTTAAACTTTTTAGGCTTGTATCTGGCGCAGGTGACATCAAACTTACAAAAGATGGAAATGTTTTGCTTCATGAAATGGTAATGAAATTTTTAATGAAAATTTTAGCAAGCGTTGATGCTTCATCTAATATAATACAAATTTTTGAGTTTTGTTTTATTATGTTTTTAAACACCATTCTTTTAATTTCGCTAGCAATATGTTTGCAATATTAGTAGCAGTATATCTGAAATGTAGACAATTTCCAATATCAACGATATTTTTTCTTGCAATTCCAAAGCAGCATATATATCAGATAGTGGTCAATTGCGCTTTATCAGACTATAAACAGTGTTGAAAATGTTTACTGTAGTATTAATTGCTTTCATATTAAGAACGTCAACGATAGTGGGCAAAACTTGTTTTTTACGTTGATTTATAATCTCCTGATTTTTAATATGCGCTTGAGATAAGAAATTTTATTTTATTTTTTTACGAAGAGAAGCTTGTCTGGATTCTTTTTTCGATCCGTTAGGAACAATCTAATTCGACACCCATTTCTTTGAAACATATGTAAAAACATATGTTTTTCGGTTTCTAATCCCAAGTTCTTTATTTGTAAACACCCTCGACATCCCAATTTTCCATCTTTCACTACTAGCCATTTATGTTACTTGGTAAACATCCTTAGTTGTTTCTTATTCCAGCAATCTGGTAGCTGACCGTCGATAGTAGTGTTTGTCCTGCATGAGGATATTGGATCAAATTGTTCTTGAACTTCGGTGATGGATTTTGACCTAAACTGAATTTAGACATTCTACTGGATTTTCTTTAAATTAACAAATGACAATAAGTTTCCTTGTTGAACCCTTTTCATGTTTCCAGGAAAAATCTATAATTTAAATAATTTTCGCCATTGAAATAATATTTAATTAGTTTTTAGTAAAGTAACAAAAATGCTTTATTCTTGTTGCAAAAAAAATGCCAAGCAGCCTCCTCTATTTTCTTTATAACCTACGTCACAATAAGATTCTTTGTTTCTCTATTGTTATTTCATTGTTTACCATTGTTATGTAGGTTATAAGGAAAATAGACAAGCTTTACATGCAATATTGTTATTTGTCACTTACCTATTATGCAAAAATTTTCATAAAACAGAGTCACAAAACCAACTCACAAACTTGTTCGAGTATTAATCAATATTTCTTAAAATGATCTAAACAGATGAAAGTACAACGTGAAGCTAACAATTTTGTATTTATTCACATTTTAAAATAGAATTATTTTTCAGTAAGACAGGGCTCATTTTAACAATCAGACATTGCCGCCCTCTGAGACCTGCTAGAGGAGAGCTACTAATCATTGTTAATTTTGTTAGTAAAAATCAATTGTCTATAATAATTTTAACAATGCAAGGGCATTAATTTTAACAATGCAATAAAACGTATTTATTTTCTAATTGCATCTATATCATCAGACATGTATCAGGGCGGGGCGACACAAAAATCTGTAAAAACAAATTTTTTGAGAAATAATTAAACAACCAGTTCGCTGATTTTTCAAAATTTTAACAACCGGCTTGCCCAACCCTGTGCAAGCCGGCTTAATCACCCCCTGGTAAAGGATTATCCTAGAAGTAGAGGACTCAGTATTTGCTATTCATCGATATAGAATTATCAACAATGATTCAATAATTGTTAGCAGTAGATAACAGAGTTTTGTTTGGGTAAAATTTATTAGCAGTTGCAATTCCAAGCTGCCACAATAAAAATCTGCTGCCCAAGCAACTAGAAAGTGATATATGCCAATTTTGAAGTATATAGTTGTGTCATCAAATAGTCATTTTAGAGGTAAGATTATCAGAAAGATTGTTTATATGGATAAGGAACAACATGGCCAATGTTGGAATTGACGATTGACAGGCAATTGACTGCTTGTGCGCTCGTTTATTACTGCCAAGGCCTGAAATTTATACATTTTTATCACAATAATTTATTTTATAGATAATTTATGTCTTACTCGATAAAGATAACATATGTCTTACTTACACAATTTTAAAGATAACATATGTCTTACTCGTTTTATGCATATCTAGTGTGTTCAATTTGATATTTTACTATAGAAATGCATATCTGAGCTAAAAAAAAAAAAAAACTCTTAAATTATTTTACGTGTAAAACAATTTAAGAGCTTTTTTAAAAAAAATTATAAGTGACTCAAATTATTATTTTGGGATTATAGCACAGTTGAGAGCCTTTCTTTTTGATAAAAATTTAAAAACAATACTTGAAGTAAATCCTGTCTATGAAGCCGTTACAGCATATATAGTTGGGTTCATGTTCTATGATGTGTTTTTGATATTTAATAAATAAAAGTTTCGCGTGATTTATATCTTACATATCTATAATACTAGCATTAAAATAAAACTTTACAACAACCTTTTTAGTGATGTTAAAAATATGCAACTAGCTTTCTAGAAAATAGATCTTAGTATTGATGCAACTGGCTTTTTAGAAACTAGATCTTAGAATTAAGTTTGTTTTTTGTTAACATTTAATTATTTAGATTTTCCTGTCATATATCAAAGAAATGTTAAATCAGAATTATGATTACAATCTAGAAGATAATACAAAAAAGAAAAGAAAAACTAGGATAATATCTCTTGAAAGAGCTGAGAGCTAACAACACAGGTGTTTGCTCTCGTTGGAAAGAAGTTCTAGACTTCAAAAGTTCTATCACTTCCACTGAAAATAGTTTTTTCCTATTCCTAAACCTAATCATGCAAAAATTCAGTATAAATTGAAGTTTACCTTAATAGTCTGTCACAGTGTCCCAGATTCTAAAGTTTAAAAATGTCCATATCTCATCAGAGCTATAAACTTAAGTTTTCTAAATCAACTTTGGTTATAATGGCAGTGAAGGATCTAAAATACATGATCAGCTTCCTAAAGCTTGTGAAGATAACTTTATTTAGGAAAAAAATCCCCTGAGCTATATATCAAATAGGCCTCTATATTTTTAGGGGGCAATTGGATGATCAGAGAAAAGAATTATGTGAAAATATGCAGTCTTTAATTTTTATATTCTTACTGTAATCTAAGAACAATGAGAGGTTATAACAACAGTTGAACAGGATTTCATTATAAATTAAAAGCATGCAGCAATATTTTTGGACTTAGTTTAAGAAGATGCTTCTTTAACTATTAGAAAGTTAAATAAATATGTGTCATGGGTAAACAGTTCCAATAGTGGAATCTAGTTTAAGTTCTGTGCAATTAGCCTATGCATTACTCTGGGTTTGATCACTTTATAAAAGTGATTTTTCGTATGACAGCATACAGCGTGGAAATCAAAGTCAGATCTTGGAATTGATGATCAATATTTATTTATTTTTTTGGTCAAAGCACATGGAATTAAAGGTCAATCATTTTTGTTTTTGCTTTTTGGTCTCTCTTGATTTTTCTTTGAATAAATTTTTATCTTAGTAATAGTTCTTTATGGCTGAACTTTATAAATACAAAAATAAGATGATGCTTGAAAATTAATAAATTCGTATTATTTTAATAATAATTTTAAATAAAATTAATGCTTTTTTCAATATTGCAAACGGACTATTTTTAACTTTTTTTAAAATAATTCATTTCATTGCAAAGACTTTGCAAACAGCGGGAAAAGCTACAAAAAAAATAAATTAAAAAGATTAAATAAAAAGTAAAGTTAAAATAATGTTCTTTTATACAATAATTTCGAAAGATAACAAAATAAAAACTTCAATTTATGAAGTTCTCTTTTTATATCTCTTGCTCATTAAAATCATTTCAAAAACTTTTTTCAAAAGTCGTGAATCTTTTTTAGTTAATAATAATGTTATAAACTCTTGTTTGCAGATACAATTTAAACTGAATATTTAATACTTTTGTTTTATGAAACATTGCTATAAAAATTACTAATGAAACATAAAATGATAATTTTACTAAGTATAAATACATTTTTAATAATCCTAATATTTTTAAAAAAAAGTCGTGCAATTAGTAATTTTAAGTTCATCTATTACTCTTGTATTTATTTGCAATTTGCAGCAAAACTTATGAGAAAATAAAAGGATAAAATAAAAAAATTGCAATTAAAAGATAAAATGTTCTTAGTTAAATACAGAAATTATTATATATTACAGGCCTTGCAATGAATAAGAACTGCGCGACGCATAAGCACGACGAGATTTTTGACGTCATTAAATTCTTTTTATTTGCTTTTCATATTTATCGACATTAACTGCACCAATTTACTTAATTACCGCAAAACTACTTTAAATCGTTTATGTAGAAATGTTATTATTTAAAAATGTTTTGGAATGTTTCGTTTTTTAAAATGTAAAAACATTTGTTTATTTTCTCGACGTTTGTCACGTTTTGTCTATACTAAACGAATAAAAAACATTATAACTTAAATTTAAAACAGATTATAAAATATGCTAATATTTGATTTTTTTTTTCTTAAATATGTAATTTTAAAGTTTTTCAAATAATTATTTTTTCTTTTTAAAAAGTCAGCGAGTAATAAACTGGAAATTTTAATATTGTACGATTAAAAACTGTGCAATAGCTAATATTTTTACAAGCGGTTTTATATAATATTTATTTATTTTTATTTATTTTCAAAAAGCGGTTGATAAGCACAATCACTCGTATTAATAAAAAACTTAAACGAACGTTTTGAATAGATTTTTAATGTTAACAAGGAATTTTATTTCTAGTAAAATAAAATAAAATGTTAGAATAAAAATCTTATTATAAGATTTTTATTCTAACATTTTATTTTATTTTACTAGAAATAAAATTCCTTGTTAGCATTAAAAATCTATTCAAAACGTTCGTTTAAGTTTTTTATTAATACGAGTGATTGTGCTTATACCTATTCTTTTATACCTATAATAGGTATAAAAGAAATGATTCAGCGAAAAAATTATTCTTAAAAATTATTCGAAAAACTATTGACGTTCTATTTTTCAGCAGCTGTTCTTGAGCACGCTTCGTTGAGTTTCGGTAACTTTTAACATAAAAGCGATCGTTATTATTTAAGTAATTTTTTTGAGTTACTTTTTACAAAAAATTTAATAACTGTACTTTTTTATTGAATCAAGTAGAATACGTTTTAATATTAATCCTTTTTTATTTTTTTATTTGTCCTTACCAATTTTTAAAATGTTTCCTCGAAATTACTCTTAAATACTTTAAATACGTCTAACAGTTAATAAATATTTTTAAATCTATGGAATAATTTTAAAACCTAACAAACCCCTGTAAAATAATTATTTAAGTTTAAAATCTAAAACTAAAAGAAAGTATTTTTGTTCAATTTTATCGACAACTTTGCTATTGCTGAATAATTTTAATTAAATGTTAGCTTAAAAGATTTAAACTTTTTTTTTAATTTTTGAATTTTTTCTACTTGTAAATAATGAGCATATTTAATTTTTTCAAATTCAAACTTTTATTTCGACTGCGTGCGGTTTTTAAAATACTTTATTAAATGTTGAAATAATCGTAAATTACTTCATTAAAATTCCGCTCAAAAATATCTTTAAATATACTCAAACAAAAAATTTTTTGCTCGACGCAAATAGCCCTAGCTACACGCAAAATCGCTCTTGGACGACGTAAAATTCACATCGCCCGACGCTTTATCGCAAGGCCTGTATTATATTAATAATAAAATAATATATTGAATATTTTTTATTAAAATAATAATAAAATATGAATTTCAATCATTTATGGAAAAATAATTTTCACCACCAGTAAAATGAAAGTAATTTAAACAATGAAAGAAAAACTTGATAAATATAGTTTAGGTTATTTGTCAGCAAAGGAATTAATGGGTTCAGGGTTGTTAAAGCGGAAAAATTATTGTTTTCTATTTTACTATTAAACTATTAAATTTTAACAATAATAAATTTAATATATATTCAAATATATTTTAAGTAGTAGAATTGATAATATAAAAATATTTACAGATTATTAATTTTTAATTATTACATTATTAATAAAAAGTTAATTTAATGAAACGTTTAAAAATCAAAGATAAAAACTGGGCAGTATTGTTAAAAAAAAGGTTAAATAAAAAATTGGCTTTAACACCTTTTCACTTTTAAATCATTTTGTTAGGTGTAAATAGAATTTTAGTCATTTCGGTCCTTCACGGTTGACTGGCCGTTATTTTTCATTATTTGCAGCAGGAGTTCATTCATGGACAGTGTCGCAGCTTGTATTATCTAGTTATATGCATGAAGGAAGAATATAAAGGAGTTAATCAGATTATTAGTTGACTAGATTTCTTTTCTACTATTGCTTGTACTGTGTCAACTAGTTAAATTAACATAAAGGAATTTAGAGAGATAAACATTTTACTTCTACAAGAAATATCCTAGGTTAGATTGATACCAACTATTCATAAACTATTCGGACATACTTAGGAGCTAATTGAATGTAATAGTAAAACAGGCTGTAAATCATGGAGTGTGAGGAATGCATAAAAGCAATTAAATACCTGAAAGTGTTCAAAGATAAATTATCATAAAAAAAAAATTGGTAACAGAACTTGGAAGATTGTTTTCAAAGATCCTGGGTGTGTGAATATAAGGATTACCCACGGTAATTCTTACTTTTATCTGCTGAATTCAAAAATGACATGTTAGCTCTAGTTTAAAAATAAAAGCAAAACTTTTCTCTTAAATATATAAATTTTCATTTTTTGAAAAAAAAAAAAAAAAAAAAATTATTTTCGACTACTCATGTTATATTTACCTTTAAATTTTATGTTATTAGTTATGTGCGTTTGCCAAAGTTTCTGGTCTAATCTATGCTTAGTATTTATTTTTTTTCATTTACTATATTTACCACGGTAATTCTTACTTTCTTAGTTACTGAGCAAAGAAACTGATTGAAGAATACAGTAAAAAAGTAAAAAACTTAAGCAAGTTCAGTTGATATAAAATACCAAACAAAAAAAAGAAAAACAATGCCTAAAAGACTTTCCATAATACCCGTAATTGATCAAAAGGATCAATTACAGGTATTATGGAAAGTATTATCTGACATAACCTTCTCGATGTTTTTGTTGACAAAATACATGTACTACTTAAAGTTGAGTTTACGGTAAGACTTGATAAGTTATTTAACTTTTTAGCCAAAAAAGGCGAAACTTTTAAAGAAATAAGATTTGCGGGTGTTAAACCAATTAAGTTTGTTATTATTTTGGATCTTTTAGATTAGTACTTTATTTCTTGTTAACTTTTTAATATAATATTTGCTGTTGTCAGAATGCATTGCAAAAAACTATTTTCAAACTTTATTGTAAATTGCCACAAAAATCCCAATTCTCATGATGTTTTTTCCAAGAAACCTATTTTCACAGTTATGCAATTGCGTTTTTATACCAATAATGGCGATTTGATTTCATGTTTTATGCAATTATTGAATTAAAATTTTTTTATTAGTTCTGAATAATAATTAATTTTAAATTATTTTCAGAATTATTATTAAACTTTAATTTGAAAACTTTTTTTGGAGAATGGGATTTTTTCATCTTTAAATTAGGAATTTTAATTTTATGAGCATTTGGGAAAACCGCGTTTGACAGGGCACCACAGGGCTAGTTTACACCCTGTCTAATGTATTTTCACAATTTCTTACTAAATGGAAAAAAAAATTATTGGATTATTTACATGTCAAAACTAATATTTATAGCACTAATATTAGTTTTGTTTTTATAATAAAATTTAAGTTATAGCATTTACTTATTTATTGTGTTATTTTAATTCAGTTGAAAAAGTTTGGTATGTTTTATAAAATATATAAAGACATTCTTTTACATAAAAATAAGCTGCTATAGGAAAACCCAAACATAACATTTATAACTTGAGTTTAAGTTATTTAAAAGATCTTTTTTGTATTTAAATTACTTATCTAACTAAGCGCATTAATCAGACCAGTAATTAAAAAAAAAAAATTAAAAAGCCGCAACTTACCTTCAAGAGAAAAAAATGTGTTAAAAATTATAAAGATTTTTGCTAATATCTTGATAAATAATTTGTTCTAGAATGTTTAATTAACATAAAACTTATGGTTCAATAATTATTTATGATATGAACACAAATTGTCTTGTTGGTTGGGGATAATTTTAACGGTCAAAAAATATATAAAAATTATTTTGAAAAATTTTTTAACATTTTGGATTATTCTCTAAAATATTTTTCACAAATTTAATTATTTTGCCTACAGGCTTAATACAGTTATAAGTGCATTAAGTACTTAAGTATATTAGCACTTTTGTAATGGAGTGAAAAAAAATTATTGATTTAAAATTATAAATAAATGATCAAAATAGTTTAATGTAATATAAACATTTAAGTAAATTTAATTAAATTTATTTTTTAATAATTAATTTAAATTTAATATAATAAATTTAAAATAAAACAGAAAATAGAGAAAAATTAATATAACAATTTTTCATCTAATAAAATATATCACAAATATTAGAGAAAGAGAAAAGCCTAGAGAAAAGCTTCTTTTTTTATAGTAGTAGCGAATTGTTTTAATATCAATTTTTTAATAGTAGAAATAAGTAAGAATTTAAAAAGTATAATTTTGTAACAAAATGGGTGTTTTGAGCTGAGTCAGCATTTTTTTTTACAGTTTTATGAGCAAAATTAGGAGAAACTTCGGACACAATTTTAAATTGACTAATGCATATAATATGAAATTTAGTACAATTTATATATGTATATATATATATATATATATATATATATATATATATGTATATAGGGAATGAGCGAAAGAAAAAAAAATCTATAAACAGGGTTAAAAACTCATAATGGCGGTCAACGTTAATATACTTTTCAAACCAACCTTCTATTCAAACACAAAATTAAAATATATGAAATCAAATAAAAAGTCATTAATTTTTTTCTGCTCTGTTTCTAGGTATATGTTTGAAGAATGTTTCCAAAAAAATTAAAGTCATAAAGTTTAATATTTATGAAAATATGAGATTTGAAAACTTGAAATTGCATGAAAATCATATTTTACAAAAAATGCAATTTAAAAACTTTAATGCAAAAAAATAATAATACAAACTTTTATTTTAAAACCCAAATTTTTTTATCTTTGTACTTCAAATGACTTCTCAAAAAATATATCATTGGAAAGAGTATAGAATGACATTTAAAAAGTATTTATATACACAATTTTTTTTTTTTTTTTAACCATCTTATTGTGTAGGTGAAATTCCCATTTTGTAGGTAAAATTCAAATAGCTTCTTAACAAATCTTGTTCGTAGTAGTAGTAGTAGTAGTAGTAGTAGTAGTAGTAGTAGTAGTAGTAGTAGTAGTAGTAGTACTAGTAGTAAAAATAATTGAAAAAAAAAGCTGATGTTAATATTTTTAAGCAAATAAAACATTTTTGACTACAAATCTGATGCGTTCAAATTTTCCATTATAAAAATATGAAAAATCATGACAGATTTTTGCTTATCAGTTTTTCAAAAATCATGGAATTACTAAATTTTCCCCTTGGTATTGTTATTAAGGAGAGGGGTGTATTTAAGGAGAGGAGGGGTGTGTTTGCAGAGAGGTTTTGTAAGTAAGTTTTCAGTATAAAAAAAATATAATTTATAATTAAGCTGAGAAAATTTTAAATTTTAAAATTTTTTCAAAGAGTTTTGTCTTGATAATTACTTATTTTTTAACTTAAACAATTAAAGTTCCTATTTTATTATCAGCAAATTCAACATCCAACTGCAGCATTAATAGCAAAGGTGGCTACAGCACAGGTTGTTTATATTTGTTATTCATAGTAAGTAGTTAATTAATTGATTGATTTACATTATGTCAAGAATGATGGAATGAAATAATTTCCTCTCTTTTATCAGAGTTTCAAAGTGAAAAAAATATTTCTTAGGATGATATTACTGGTGACGGAACAACATCAAATGTTCTTATAATTGGAGAATTATTGAAGCAAGCTGACCTTTATATTTCTGAAGGCTTGCATCCTAGACTGGTGACTGAAGGTTTTGAAATGGCAAAGAAACGTGCACTAGAAGTAAGTTTACTAAAAATGTAGTTTTAAGTAATATAACATAATGACCTTTCTTAATTCTAAATAATAAACCCTAAAAATAGATGTTAATCGTAAAGTCATTTTTTTTCTTCTGTATTTTGCGTTTGAGGTTTGCATGTTGGTTGCAAATTAAATACATAATTCAAAACTTATTTTATAGACTGTCTTCATTTATTCTGTTTTAATTGAGTACAAATTTTATACCATGTTGGTTTAGTACAAATGTTATACCAACATTTTATACCATGTTGGTTTAGTACAAATGTTATGCCAACATTTTATACCATATTGGTTTAGTACAAATTTTATACCAAAAATGCTTTTAACTAAAAATATAACGTTTGTAACTTTTATATATTTGTACAAAACCAATAATAAATAAAATATTTAAGTTTTAAAATTATATAAAAATATAATAATAATAATTACTATATAAGTATAACAAATGTTTATATTATAATAATCTAATAAATTAATATTACTTTTAAAAAGACAACAGATTAGTATAGAACTTAATTATACAAACAAATTTTATTTTATTTTATGTATTTTTTTTTTTTTTTGAGAAATTGAATTTTTAATGGCAACTGAATAAGATTACTAATGGTGTTCGTTACTGACAATAAGTTTTTAAAATTTGATATGTAGTAGTAAAATAGATAAATAATGTTTGTGTTTCTATGAAGTCTGGAAAAGTTCATAATACTCAGGGTCTATTTTGTTTTTATATAATATAAAATATAATTTATATAATTATATTTGTTTTCATATAATATGTTTTGTTTTTATATAATATAAAATATAATTTATATAATTATATTTGTTTTTATATAATATATTTTGTTTTTATATAATATAAAATATAATTTATGTAATTATATTTTAAACCAATTAAATAAGTTTAATCATAAATCATAAAGTAGCAATGGAAACAACTTTTTTTCCAGGAGAAAAAATTGTTTTTATTTCTTTTCAAAGTTGTTTCCATTGTCACTTTATATTGAATGCAGTTTTTTGCATTCTACCTGATTTTTTATTGCAATTATTGTTTTTTGCATTTGTTCTATGTGATTTTTGCATACCTTCTGCTTGCTTTTTAAAATTAAGCGTCAATTTAATTCTGATTTATGCCCTAATAGTCAATTGCAAAGTTGTTTATTAAATTTATCTTTTTCTTGTATCAAAATATTTTTTCACTGTTTTCATTAACATTCATGTGGTGGTTGTTAAAATTTAAACCGATTGATTTGATAAGAATTTGTATTAAAAACATTTTAACTTTAATTTTGTTCATTAATGATTTTTGATAATTTTTTTTTATATTTTATTAACACAAATGCTATAAATTTAGGTTTTAGAAGAGATTAAAATTCAAAGCAAACTTGATCGAGATACCTTGATAAATGTTGCACGGACTTCATTAAGAACAAAAACGCCAAAGGAACTTGCTGATCATTTGACAGAAGTATTAAATTTTATGCTAATATTATTTACATATTTTTCTATATTTAACATTATTTAATATTATATACATTATTAAACATTTTTAATTTATTATATATTTTATCCATAATTAAACATTTTAATTTATTTGGTATTTTATCCATAATAATTTAATATTATTTAATTTTATATACATAAATTCACCTCCATCGACACCCACCCACCCCAACCCCGCTCATTCTTAGCATTGCTTTGCAGCAATTGGGGGGGGGGGGTTGCATTAGTATAAAATTGTATTTTTTGTACATTGGTTCGTAATTGTTATTTTTTTGACATTATCTTTGATGTTTCAATATTATCTTAAAATTTTCTTTTTTCATTGTTTTTTAAAATTAATTGTTTCTTGATCTAGCGTGCTATTAAAAATTGAAGTATATTTAAGTTTTTCATTCAAATTGTTTTGCAATAAAAAGTGAAGCAGAAAAATTTGGTTTAAAAAATCGAATTATATTTCCTTAAGTTTAAGAATATGCTTAAATTATTTTTTTAGAAAAAAATATCCTTGAACAGAAGTAAAGTAATTTTTTAATTTTAATTTTTCATAATTTTTATTTTTATTTCTTTGCAATTATTGATTTAATCTTTGCAATAGAATGTTTCTACTTTTTATTCAGAAACAAAATATATTTAACTATTCAAAATATTTACAAATTAAATAAATCTTTCTTACTTGCACAATGTTCTAAATCTGATATTGTTACTAGAGCTAAATATGTTTAACTTAACTAAAACTTATACCAAATAAGTTCAGCTGTGATCTCGCTATGCTGTTTATTATGGATGCCGCTGAATTAAATTTATAATTACAGTAAAATCCCAATAACTCAGACCCTGGATAAGTCAGACTTTTACTAAGTTAGACAAATTTTCAATTTCCCTTGATTTCTCTATACATACCAAAAGCTGCACTTAACGTGGACATTCGTTAAGTCAGACAAAATATATATGCCCGAAAATGTTTGATATCGCTTTAAATTAAATATTTTAAAAAAATGGTATTGCGTTTTTTATATTTATTATAGCTTATATTATGTGTTAACAACAAATAAGATATAAATAGAAACATTTACATGGCTAATTTTTGCGAGTCTTAGAGTATGTTAAGTAAATTTAATAGTTGAGTAATTGTAAGTTACTGTAGTAACTTAACTGGTTTTGATTAAGTTTAAAAGTAAATTTACTGTGATGTACTTTATCCACCAGAAGAGTTTGTTATTCATTTCCACGATTTTATGAAGTTATATGATTTCAAATTAAAAAATTATAAATTTTTTTAATTTGAAAGCGTTTTTAAAGTTTGTGATTCTTTGGGTTTTAGTGATTAAAAAAAAGTTCAAAATCATTTTGGTCTACTATTTATATAGACGACATATTTCAGTATATAGAATGTGGAAATGGACTCAAAATTTTTATTTTTATGACTTTTTTTCTCATCATTCGCTAACTAATTTATTACATAAATAATCACTTAACTCCATTATTGATAAAAATGTGTGAAAGCGGCTAAAAAACTTTTTCCGCCTCAATTTTTTTGGTGTGAAATTTTTAATGGCACACCATTTTTCTTGTATCTAGTAAAGTAATATAATTGATTTTTTATAAATCTAGCAAAGAAACATAATTGATTTTTTATAAGCTAAAGAAAAAGTTTTTTTTTTTTTTTTTTTTTTTTTTTTTTTTTTTTTTTTTTTTTTTTCAACATCTTCACTTCCAACAAGGCTGCAAGCAACCACTATAAGAGTTGGAAGTTACTGGAAGAGAAAAGACTAAATCTGTAGAGCAAGATAACGATTGACTGATGACTTAAAAGATTGCAAATTATATGAATCAGGAAAGCAAGATGAAGGAAGCGAATTCCAAAGAACTGATGTTCGAGGAAAAAAACTAGAAGAATAAGAGTTTTTGAAGCACTTAGGAACAGTCACAGAAAAAGGATGAGACTTAATTGAATGGCGAGTAACACGAGAATGAATTTTAGTAGATGGCACAAGGGACGCTAGCTCTTTAGAGCAGTGCCCATTATAGTATTTGTAGAAAAGAGAAAGAGAAGCAACATTACGACGATGTGACAAAGGTTGGAGATTGGCTGCCAGAGCAGGTCCAACTATGTTTACAATTCGTTTTTGCACCTTGTCTAAAAGAGAAAGAGCATCATTAGAAGATCCGCCCCAGATGTGGCAACAGTATTCCATACAGGGACGGATTTGAGATTTATAGAGATAGAGAATAGAATCTGGAGTAAGAAAGTGTCGAGCTCGATAAAGAGATGCAACCTTAGCAGATGCTAATTTTGCAATGGATTTGATATACGGTTTAAAAGAAAGATCAGAAGTAAGAGTTAATCCTAGAAGATGAATGGTAGATGACTCATCTAGTACATTACCATTCATAAATATAGGAAGATCTAAATTATTACGATAACGATTGGCCGAATAAAATTGAGTTTTATCTGAATTAAAGTTCACCAGCCACTGTGAGCCCCATGCTGTAGCAGAAGTGAGATCCTTTTCAAGCTCAGATACCCCCTCCAAGTGCTAACTAAAGATTTTAGTTTAACTGTTAGTTGAAAAAAAACTTTCTTTTTTTTTTTTAAGATTTTTTTTTTTTCTTTCAATTTCAATTGTTTCAATTCAATTTCAATTGTTTTTTGTTACTCCCTAACTTTTAGAAAGTCTTTTTTAGTTATAAAACTGCAGTTTTAAATTTTAGAAATGTTTTGAAAAATTCTACATTTAAATTATATACTTAAGTCAAGAAAAGAAAGAAATTAGATTGTATTAAATATTAAAAGACATATTAAACTTGGTTACTATAAGCATTTTTTGTTAAGACAACACTTGCAGTTTTAATGTCTTTATGGTTATATCTTTATCGTTGACATGTTTTTTGAAAGTAGAAACTCCATAACTTTTTTTAATGCTTTTTTTTTATGCCTTTTTTTTAAAAAAATATGCAAAATATAAATAAATTATTATATATATTATTATATAATAAATTAATAATTTATATTTATATTCTGCCCTATTTTACTCTGAGTTTTTCTTAACCTGATTTGTATATAGATGCATAAACTTAAGCACACATACATATAAGCCGCCCAGAAGCCAATGCGGTTAAGTCCAAAACACAAAAATTGAGAAAACTAATGAAATATTTAAAAATTAATCGATCATTAGCCATACTATTACTGGCAATTTCTACATTTTGCAAGTGTTTGTTGTGTTCAACTTCAGCTGCATTTTTTTTCTTCACCTATTGTAGATTATTTTTTTATTACCAAATTAGCAGGAAATCAGCATTTTTTCACACAAAAAGCCTATTTGCCATAAAAAATCTTTAAAAAAAGGTCCTCAAATTTTAATTTGGGTGGCACCCAAAAATGGTTGGCGCTGTCAAAAGCGGTCTAGAATAGCCCCTGATCTATATATATTCTACAAAACAGAGTGCTCAATCTTCATAAAAGAACAGAGCAATAATAAACTAGTAGAAAATTGTGTTTTTTCATTTTACACTTTGTTTATTTATATATGTATAAATATATACATCAAAAAATTTTATTTAGATAGTTGTAGATGCTGTACTTGCAGTTAAAAAAGATGGTCACCCAATTGATCTTCATATGGTTGAAATTATGGAGATGATTCATAAAACTGATTCTGATACAAAGTCAGTTTATTTTAAATTGTCTATAGACAATAAATTATAGTTTTCAAAGTTTTATTATAATTTATAATTTTTACTTTCTATATTATTTTCCTAATCTCTATTTTTATATCTTAAATTTAAATTTTAATATAATTTTTTCAGGCTTGTCAGTGGTTTAGTGTTAGACCATGGTGCACGACATCCTGATATGTTAAAAAAAGTTGACAATGCATACATTCTCACATGTAATGTGTCACTGGAGTATGAGAAAAGGTGAGATGTTTTTTTATGTTTGTTCAGAAAGTTTATATTAATGATAACCTACAGTTAAAAAAATTTGTATTTAGTGAGGTAAATGCTGGCTTTTTTTACAAAACTGCAAGTGAGCGTGAACAACTTGTAAAAGCTGAAAGAAAGTTTATTGATGACAGAGTTCAAAAAGTGATACAGTTTAAAAAACGACGTTGTGATGGAACTGATAAAGGATTTGTCATTATTAATCAAAAGGTAGATGTTTTTTTTTTACTTTTATATTTTGTTTTGAGTTTATATTATAGCTAGTACTAATATTTTAAAAAGGTTTTCAAGATATAAAGAATAAACAGAGTACTGATAAAATATTAACCAAAATTTAAAAAATACGTTTCTTTTTTCAACAATTCATTAAACATTGATTTAAGAGTTTTTAAAAAAAAATTACTCCTAATTTTTTTAATTAAAGTTAGTGAAAACATTGAAATTATATTTAAAACACTGTAGTCAAGGTTTGACCACTTTGTTTTAAAATTGTTCATATATGAAAGTGTTTTAAGAAAAATTAAAAAAAAAATTATTAGTAAAAAAATATAAAATAAGTTAAAAAAAAAAAATTTTGATGTATATAAAATTAAATTTTCACAATAAATATAGTGTGTATTTTACATCAGCACTGTTCAGAACTGAATTAAACTTGATTGACTTAAGAAAAGTTAAATTTGTTCATTTTTTTGAAAATAATTAGGTTAAGAAAAAATAAATTTTTTTTTTTTTTTTTCTTTTTTAGATTTTTTTCGTTTTTGTATAAACCTTTTTTTTTTTTTTTTTTTTTTTTTTTTTACTTTTTTTGTGAAGATTATAAAATTTTGGGAAATTTTTCTTTTCAACAGTTATTCTTAATGTTTTACTACATTCAGTTCTTTAGTGTTGATGTAATATTATTCTTAGTGCATGATTTAATGTTTACTAAGGTTTCTTCCATAAAGCAGGCATAAAATTTTTAATATCTATATGTCAGTTGTCGGAAGAATACATTTATAGTTTTGATCTGTATTAATAAGTTTTTTTATTATAGAAATTTATGTTTTGTAATCAAAAGTTAAAATGGTCTGTAATAAAGTTGATTGCAAAGTGTTAAAAATATATTTTATAATAAATAATTTTTAAATTGCTTTTAATAAAGGGATCCCCAACTGCCGAGACAAGTTGTGTTCATATTAAATGTTTTTATAAAAAATTTGAGCTAAAAAAATTTTAAACTAAATAATGAATGCACACCATTAATTCATGTTTTAGTTGAAGCTCCCCTTCTCCAATTTTTTTTTTGGTTCTCAGAGTCTGTATAATGTTAGCCGCAATCTGCAGGCTTGATAATTTATTCCATGCGTGTTTAATTCATATTTGTTTTGGTATATGACATCATCGTATAAATTTTTTCTTTCAAGATATCGCATCATTTTTTTGCCACAATCACCAAATCATGTAATTTTATTACTTTTTACTAAGTCCCAAAAAAAAGTTTATGATGCAATTAAAAATTTAATTTATAAAATTTATTAAAATTTAATATATAACAAATATTTACAATAAAACGTAATGGTTTCAACTAAATATAAACTAAAAAGATAATTTTACTTAAGCGTATACATTAATTCAAAGTATAAACTGGTTAAAAAATCTTTTTGTAGCAACTGCACATTTTTTTGAATAAAATTTGAATGGTATAACATTGACAATTAAAATTCGATAATGAAAAAGTTTTTAACACGCATCATTAAACAATAAGAAATGCAAAGATTTTCTGATTGAAGTAGAAAAAATACTAATATCCTTAAAAAAAAAACACTATCTTAAAAAGATATTGGGATGACGTCATATACCAAAACTCTTATGAATTAAACAGGCATGGAATAAATTATCAAGTCTGCAGATTGCAGCTAACATTACATAGACTCCAAGAAACAAAAAAAAGAAGAGACAACAAGCTTCAACTTAAACCTGAATTTTAAAATTATTAGTGTGCATTCATTATTTAGTTATAATAAAAAAAATTTAGCCAAGATGTTTGTTTGTTTTTTTATATTTTCTTTAATATGAACACAACTTGTCTCAGCAGTTGGGGATCCCTTGAAAGAGAAGCTGTTTTTTATTTTACATAAAATTAATTATTTTAAAACAAAAACTGTAATTATTTCTAATTGCCAGTTATTAATAGTGACTCACTTATAATTAATTTAACGTGTAAAATTAGAGTAAAAAAATTTTTAATTATCAAAAAAAGTAGGTAATATGCTTTTGAACTTCTTTTTAATTAAGTACGTCCTCAGCTTTCTGAATCAATGACTGAATTAAATATAGCAGAAAAGATTAAGGATTCTTACAAATCTCTTAATAATGAAAAGTCAGTTAGACCTAATCCGCCAAAGAGTGTTCCTTTAAAATTACACACTAAAAGGTAAGAAAATTACGCAGACACGCAGGCTTAGATCAGAACTTAATAAGCCAAAATCAGAGTTCAAAAAACCCAATTCTCTTTTCTTCAAAAACATTTTAGGTTTATATTTTTAACTTAATTTTGTGAACAGCTATAACTCAACGTTTCATTCGGCAAAGTCTATTATACTTTATTATATGCTTTATGTTTTATTAATAAAGTTTATGTTGCTCAAACAAAATATATATATATTTAGTTTGAGTTACCAGAGTTCATCTATCTATCATGCAATGATTAGGTAGCTCAGTTTATTTATTTTTCATTATTATTAGTGTATTATCAATTATTATCAGTGTATCACTTATTGAGTGCATTCAGTCTTGTATTTGCCGATTGATTTGTTATTCGCACAGCATTGTTTGTAAAACACGAAAATATGAAAATATTCTATTCAAATATTAACTTAAAGAAAAAAGAAAACAAATATGAAAATTGAATGTAAAACACTGTATAATTATATACATATATGTATTACTTGAATTACTCAGTATCTAATTCATCCCTGTGCATAATGCATTTTTTTTAGTTTTTTCTATCTTGCCACATATATAAAAATATATATATATACATACATACATACATACACACATTCAACCCTCGGAATTAGGGTCGGGATTCGGCAATGACGATCTAACTGCCTACCTAAAAGTGTTCGAGGTCGGCAATTAATGCCAACCTCGTTTCTATGTTTTGTGTTAAGACCTTAGTTTTTTGTTGTTGTTTTTTTTCCCGACCTAGTGCCGATTTTTCCTAATTCCGAGGGTTTATATATGTGTGCGTTAGCCCCTCTTTTTGGCGAACTTTAGCAGAAAATCTGCTGTTTTGTGAAAATAACAATATTTTCTATTAAAAACTTTTTTTAAAAAAATAAAAAACAATATTTAAAACAATATTTAACAATAATTTAACAATATTAAACAATAATTTAGGCTCCCTAATACGGTTGTCACTATCAAAATCAGTCTAGAATAGTCCCTGATCTATATATAGCAAAAGACTTCTAATTACTAAAATAAAATTTTAAAGTTTTCTCATGTTACACATATATTATACATGATTGTTCCATATACTGCCTGCATACTTAACGTATTCTAAAGATGTTTACACTTACAGACGTTTATACATAAGGCTATCAAAATGTAATTTTTAAATTTACATAATTCTAAATGACATATCAAGCCTTTAAATATATTATAATAAAATTCTTTTTATTTTTTTAAGACTTTAACTTTTTTTAATTACTGCAATAATAATAGTTACCGCAAAACGAGTTTGATATTGTTTAAGTTGTTTTTTATTAATACTAATTTATATATATATATATATGTATATATATATATATATATGTATATATATATATATATATATATATATATATATATATATATATATATATATATATATATATATATATATATATATATTAAATAATTAAAATGTGTTTAATTTTTTTTTAATTTCTTAAATAATCATTTTTAGAAATTTGCAACTAAAAAAGATTTTTTATTTTAAAAAAAATTATGTTAATTTATCTACTTTCTTTATTAAAAGTTTATTATTTGCTAGCAATTTTGTTTTGAAAGCAAAGATTATTTTCCAATTACCATTTGTTAAAATTACATCGTTGTATGTATTATTTATTGAAAAAAAGCCTGACATATTTTTATTAAATATATATTTACATATTTTATATAAATTTTTTAAACTTCTTTATTAAAAAGTGCTGCAAGAACTATGAAGCTCAACAATAATTAAGGTTATTATAATAAAATGATAATTTTAATAACATTATTTAAATTATAATTATCATTTATAATAAAGGTTATAATATGCTAAAAATATAAATCTGCGCATAACTTATCAACTGTAACAGGGCATATATCTTGTCAACTCCAAATTTACATTATTTTTTTTAATTTTTTTAAACTAATTTTTTTCTCAAGTAGTTACTTATCTATTTATTGCTTTCAAATCAATAAAAAAATTCTTAAACATTTTTTACAATATTTTAATTTCTTTGAAGTTCAGAAACAAGTTATTATCTAATTAAAAAGAAGTTATATATTTTATTATAATTTTTATATTTATATTATATACCATTTCAGTTATATTTTATAATTCATAAAAGTTTTTAGAGGTTTTTGGTTTTTTAAAACTATTTTTACTGGAAAATTTTTTTTTTAATTTATTTTATTGTTTAAAAGTGAGTTAAACTTGCCTCGCATTGAAGTTTATTCATTAATTTTTTCATAAATGCAAATGTTGTTGCTTTATGATGCTGTCTTTTTTCAGAAGAGAAGAGATTCTTCAGGAGTTCAGTTTGTAAAAAGCAAAAATAGTTAATACTAAATTAACCATTTTTACAGTTTATTACTTGTTGGTAGTGCATGTTAAACAGTTATTAGTTTAATTTATTTTACACCCACATCCATCCAACCATCATACTTCTCATTTAAAAAAAAAAATGTTTTATTCAGAATTTAATTGAATTATAAATGTTTTGTAGGGTATCGATCCAGTTTCTTTAGACTTACTTGCTCGGGAAGGTATTGTTGCTTTACGTAGAGCAAAGCGAAGAAATATGGAAAGGTAATTTTTTGATTTAAATTACTTTAAAAATTTTTGGCTTACTTAAATAAAATGCATTCTATTGTATTATATGTGCCAATTCATAAGGGGTTCTTTTGTGCATATTTTCTCACCCTCTAAATGTGTTTTATATGATAAAATTAAATGGATTTTGAAAGTCTGGAAGAAAGTCTAAAATCTGGACACACTTGCGAACTGGCATACCATCCAAGTATAAAACCTTCAAACAACAGCCATAAATGTAAAATAATTTGGTATAATCCTCCTTTCAGTGCAAATGTTGTAACAAAAATAGGTAAATGTTTTTTAAACCTCATCGACCACCACTTTCCAGTTAACCACAGACTCCGTAAAATATTTAATAGAAACACAATCAAAATAAGTCATTCCCGCATGCCAAACATAAAATCCATTATCAACTCTCACAATAAAAACACGTTACATGAGGAAGCAAAAGTTAATGAAAAGACATGCAACTGCATTTATAAATCCAAATGTCCGATGAATAACCATTGTCTTTCTAACAACATTGTTTATCAAGCCACCGTTTGTTCAAACAATCCGGAGTACAATGAAAAAGTGTATTTTGGACTCAGCGAGACATCTTTTAAAGTTCAATACGCAAACCACCTCAAATCTTTTAATTCAATTAGATATAAAAATGATACAGAGTTATCTAAAGAAATATGGAAATTAAAAGAAAAAAAATTTACGCCTTTTGTCAGATGGAAAATTGTTAAACATTGCAAACCATACAACCCAACATCAAGAGTGTGCAACCTCTGTTTAAACGAGAAGTTTCAAATTCTAATTTATAAAGGTAAAAACCTACTTAACACAAGGAGTGAAATAATCTCGAAGTGTAGGCACAAAAATAAATTTCTTATTTCCTCCTATGATACCGCAGATTGATCCTGATTGGTTTACATCACTTTTATGCCACGTGATACTCTTAAAACTTAAAGTTTTGTTTCCATGGAGTCATTATACTCACGCCACCGTAATTTTAATTGTAATTTTAACGTCTATTTTAAATTTTGTAATATATGGCTGATGATTGCCGTTAGGCATTAAACTTCTTTTTTCGTTTTTAATTATAAACCGCTCTGTTATGAAATTTATATATAATCAAAATAAATTTCTTAAATATTGAGCACTTTTCAACGAACAAGAGTTATGTATTATTTTAATACAACACTACATAAAACGATAGATATATATATATATATATATATATATATATATATATATATATATATATATATATATATATATATATATATATATATATATATATATATATATATATATATATATATATAGTAATAAGGGTGTGTGGAAGATTAAGGTAGTCTGGAAAAGAGTAAAAATGTAGGTGATCAGGTATTTAATTATTTTAGCTATTATACTTTTTAGTTTTACCTAATATAAAACTTTACAACTTGAAAATGTAACATTTTAAATCTTCTCATAAACTTGAAATTGTAATAACATATTAGGAATTACTAAATAATAAATCAAATAGGTTTTTGAATTTTATTTTTTCTTAAAGAGCAGAATTTTGGGGTGGAGAAAGAGATTATTACAAGGGTTGAATTAACGCATCGCGATTTGCGATATCTGTTAAATTATCTGGTCTTCAAAGTTTCAGTTTATGGAAAACCACAAAATTTACGGAAAAGGCGAATAAACTTTAATTTGTTAGTGAAAACGTTATGAAAAACAAAACAATAAATTTATGACTACAAAAGTAATAATACTACAGTGTTGTTACTTTTATAACACTCTTTTAAGTTATATTTATAGTTTATTGTTTGATCAAACAACACCTAATCAAGATATTATAAATAAAAATGATTTAGTTAAGTAATTCCAAACTTTAATTAAAGTAGTAATGCATCTAAAAAAAATACAATGGATATTTAAACAATGTTAAAAACCTCAGCAACTTTTACGAATACATATTTTTATAAACAGTTTAGCATTTTTAAACATCTTACTAACGGTCCGGAAAAAACGCGCGTTCACTTTAAAATCAACCAATAAAAACACTGGTAATTTACTTCTTAGGAGAAATCTATATTAAAAGGGGAGGGGGAGGCTAAAAACTTAAATTTTGTTTTATTATTTAATCAATTAAATCATAATAAAAGTAAAGACAAAAAAATATATTTCTAAATATACTTCTTTATGACTAAAATTTATTAAATTAAATACCTCTGTTTTTAGTTTAAAGTAAATGTCAGTACTACTCTCAGTGGCGAAACTGCAGGGGGGGGAGGGGCTTTGGTTAACAGACAAAAAGTGTCCTGATTTTAAACTAATTTTAGGTTGCATGGGCGATATGGGGCTGATTTTGAAAATCGTGTTATTTGTTTATAACAAGTCACTTGTTATAAACAAAAAACTAAATTTCAAAACAAAAGTTCAGTGAAAATTGGCCTTAAAATTAAAAAATATATATATTGGAAACCAATAAATAATAAAACTTTCATTGTAAATCCTCCCGTTTTTTTTTATTATTTCCTCCTCCCATTTTATACATCCTGACTAAAATTTCCACCCCCACCTACCTTTGTATTAAGCACATTAGAGTAGTCAGTAGCGAAATTCCCCCCCCCCCCCCCTCCGCACGATTTTTAAAATGAGCCCCATATCGCCCATGCAACCTAAAATTAGTTTAAAAAATAGGTATCTTCCCACCACCCCCCACCCCACCCCTCCCACCCTCTTCCCGCAGTTTCGCCACTGAGAGTAGTACTGACATTTACTTAAAACTAAAAACAGAGGTGTTCAATTTAATAAATTTTAGTCATAAAGAAGTATATTCAGAAATATATTTTTTTGTCTTTACTTTTATTATGATTTAATTGATTAAACTATAAAACAAAATTTAAGTTTTTAGTCTCCTCCCCCCCCCCCCCTCCCTCTTTTTTTAATATAGATTTCTCCTAAGAAGTAAATTACCAGTGTTTTCATTGGTTGATTTTAAAGTGAACGCGCCTTTTTTTTCCGGACCGTTTGTAAGATATTTAAAAATGCTAAACTGTTTATAAAAATATGTATTCGTAAAAGTTGCTGAGGTTTTTAACATTGTTTAAATATCCATTGTATTTTTTTTAGATGCATTATTACTTTAATTAAAGTTTGGAATTACTTAACTAAATCATTTTTATTTATAATATCTTGATTAGGTGTTGTTTGATCAAACATTAAACTATAAATGTAACATAAAAGAGTGTTATAAAAGTAACAACACTGTAGTATTATTACTTTTGTAGTCATAAATTTATTGTTTTGTTTTTCATAACGTTTTCACTAACAAATTAAAGTTTATTCGCCTATTCCGTAAAATTCGTGGTTTTCCATAAACTGAAACTTTGAAGACCAGATAATTTAACAGATATCGCAATTCGCGATGCGTTAATTCAACCCTTGTATTAATAAAGAATAGAGAAAGCGAGGTTATTAATAAAAGATAAATAATGTTATAAGTACGTTTTTATCATTGCAAAGATAGAATAATTAGATCAGGTGTACATGTGTAGTGTTAAGATACAGATTATTAGCTATTGATACTTACTCTTTAGTGGAAAAAAGTAGACGCAGATGTAGAAAAAACTTAGTAAGAGTGTTAATGTGCACCATTACCACTCTTCCGAAGTTTTTTTCTTCCTTAGGAGAAAAAAAGGAATTATAAGCAAAAATAAGGTTAATTTATAAATTTTAAAAAAAGTTGTTTTGAATATATTTTTTGACATGGAACATATATTATGTTGACAAAATAATTTATTTGAAGTACTAGCGTTAAATATCTGTTTTAAGTATTTCTTTCAAGTGACTTTTTCCTTGCTGCAATGCTCTGCTAAAGTAAGTGGGCCTAATTTTTAAGATTTAATAAATCAAAGAATTAATGCACTTAACATAATAATAATAAAAAATTTTTTGTTTGCTGTTCTATTTTTAAATTGTTATTATTAGTTGCTTTTTTTTTACTGTTATCATAGGCAGTTTTCTCTCCTCGATTTAGCCAGGCTATATGAGAGTGAACCATCCAGAATATAGGCTATACATATATTTTTTTTTTATTTGTATTTTATAACATGCTTATTGTAAAACATCTATATTCTTGGTAAATATATTGCTTTTTGTTGTTGTTGTTGTTTACTGTTATCATAGGTAGTGTTAGTTTTTTTTTGTTTTTTTTTTAGTTAGTAATTCACTTGCATATTTTATTTTTCCCAAATGTAAGGATATAATGAAAACTACTAATAGTTTTATATGTTTTATAGATACTTTTTTTACAAAATATTGAGATTTACCTTGTGCTCAAAGCCAAATACTCTAGGAACAATTTGGGCGTCTTTCAGGGTATTTTGCCACTTGAGCACAATGTAAACGTCAATATTTTTAGAATTTTTTTATATTTGTCCTAAATTTGGCTTCTTGTGTATTTGCGTTTTGAAAAAAATTTTCTTTTTAAGAACACCCCTTGTATATATATATATATATATATATATATTATATATATATATATATATATATATATATATATATATCTACTATAGCATATTTATATGCGCAATTGCTCACTTTTTTTGCTAGCCTAAATTTTTAGAAAACGATGAGGGAAAACAAAGAATAATGTATGAAAATGTTGCTGACCCATACCAAACCCTCAGTCGATGTAGCAGCACTCCACGGCGTTTTTTAAATGTAGTCATTTGGATCTCAAAAGAAGCAAATTTTATAAAAATTTCAAAAATAATAAAAATGTTACGCAAGAATTATTACTCTAAGTTTTATTGCATAAAAATTATTATTTTTTAACAAAAAATTAAAAATATATATATTTTCATGGGTCTTTTTTGTCGAAATATTTTATTCAAGTTATTTATATTATATTATATTATATAAATGATAATAATTGTCTTTTGAGAACCAATAGAATGTTTTAAGATCAATTTTTGAGAGTATGTTTGATGCACCCTTTTATTTATTTATTCACCCTTTTATTTATATTTATATATATATATATATATATATATATATATATATATATATATATATATATATATATATATATATATATATATATATAGTTTTTTAAAGAGATAAACATTTTTGACTATAAAAAATTTTGATTTTTGTTTTAATTGTAGACTTCCATTAGCTTTTGGTGGCTATGCTGTGAATTCTTTTGATGAGCTTACTGACGATTGTCTTGGTTTTGCTGGGACTGTTTATGAGCATTCACTTGGGGATTCAAAGTTTACTTTCTTGGAGGATTCTAAAGATCCCAAATCAGTTACAATATTAGTTAAAGGTCCAAATAAATACACCATAACAATGATTAAAGATGCAGTACGAGATGGTTTACGTGCAGTTAAGAACGCCATTGAAGATGGTTACTTATTTTATTTTTAATTTTTATGGAAAAAAAAATTGTTTAAATTCTGCTTTGAGTAAAAATATTTTTTTGTCTTTTTCATAGAATGTGTGGTACCAGGTGCTGGCGCTTATGAAATTGCTACCCATGCAGCATTGATTGCATTAAAAGAGACTGTTTCTACAAGAGCACGACTTGGAGTGCAGGCAATTAATTATTATTTTTTTGATTTATATTTATAAATTGCTGAATTAAGTTTAAATAAGTTATACTTTTTTTCATCGTTTCTTTATTTATCTAAGATTTTTTATTTCCTTTTATTTTAACTTTTAATTTCTGATTTTTAAAGGCTTTTTTTTTTTTTTCGCAGTCTATTTGCATATATTTTTAGGCGTTTGCTGATGCTTTACTAATTATACCAAAAGCGCTAGCCTCGAATTCAGGTTTTGATCCTCAAGAAGCGACTGTAAAACTACAAGCTGAGTATGGAAGCAGTAAAGTTCCCGTTGGACTTAATTTAAGTACAGGAGAACCAATGAATCCAGTAACTGAAGGGATTTTAGACAATTATCGCGTTAAACGTCAACTGATAAATTCTTGTACTGTAATCGCCGGAAATCTGCTTCTTGTTGACGAAGTAATGAAGGCAGGAATGTCGTCACTTAAGGGCTAGTTTTTTCAGGTAAGTGTGTATATATATATGTAGAGATAGAGAGAGACAAATATCAAGTTAAAAATAAGGGAATGTTCAAGGTTTAATTAAAAAATGTTATTTTTATGTCTTAGGTTTGCAGACGGAGAAAAAGTCTTACTCATCTTCATTTCGCGTTAGTCGATGTTAGTTTTTCCCCAGAGAGTATACGCAAAATAATTACTTGTATATTTGTAATAGTTGCAGCAGAACTCAATTTTATAGTTTCGTAATCGGTTTTTCTTTTTTCTTTTTTTGTTCTTATATAAATATATTATTTCTCTCTCTAAAAGCAATAATATTTACGTGGAAATACAGCAAAAGATAAAATACTAAGTGCAAAATATATGCTTATATGTCTGTATATGTGTATATGGATATATATAGATAGGTCGGTTACATTTTGTATCTTTAACAATTTTATTCAAATCATACTAATTTTGGGCTTAGAAAAAAAAAATGACAACGAAAATTTTTTTAAGCTCTAGTTTTTGAGATATGCATTAGCAAAAAAAAATTTCAGTTAATTTGCAACATGACGTAATTTACATATACTTGTAAAGTCCATTTGGTTTTTTTTTATTACAGGTATATTCTAGCAATTTTAAACAAAGAAATCATTATTATCAAGCTAATGGGTATATTAGCTTTTCTTTGTTAGAATAGTTCTGGAGCATCCCTACACACAAACCAATATTAATCTGCAAAATTATTTCAACGACCCTGTCATCTTGGTTCCATTACATAAATAACTTGGTGAAACCTCTCCCCATGTTTTTCACAACAGCTTATCAACTGGGGGGGGGGGAGGGAGTCTAGGTATGAGTGGAGGAAATGAATCTTGAGGGACATGTTACATCCAAATTGGTGGTATTTTTGCAGAGGTACTTTCACCAATTGCATGTTTTTGTCATCTCTTTTGTTCCCTTAAAAACCACAAATCTCTCTCTTAAGAGCTTACAAAGTTTTCTTTTCTTGTCCCTTCAAAACTTTCATAAAAGCAGGATCATTCATAAGTTGACGTATTTGTGGCCTAAAAAAAACACCCTCTTTAATTTTGGCACCACGTTTTTTTTTTTTGGAAATTTGCTTCTTAAATACCTAAAAGCCTGTTCTTTGTTCATACCTTTGACAAAAATTTGTCATTAAACCAATTTAATATGTAATGGTGGAAAAAATATCTTTTGGATTCTCGAGTGGTTTAGCAATAACGTTTTTTTTATCTGGATTGAAAATTCTGGCAGGCCAGTCTTCTTTTATACTATGCGAATTTCTGTCTCTACTGTCCCACATACAGCACAAAAAGCAGCAGTATTAAGTATACCTTATTTGCATTCCTAAAAGTATTGCAATGATTTTTAGATCACCTCAAATTTCCTTTGTGTTCATTATAATTAATTGAGTTGAGGGGAACTTTCATGTTTCTTTCTCTTTTATATGAACTGCATGGCCGATAGTAACAGAAGGAAGACGGTTTCCATCGTGCTTTTATAGTTTAAGCTTTCAAGCTTAAATTGCTGGGTTGTTGGGTTCATCAACACATATTATTATTAATTAATATTCCGACAACTGTTACAGGTAGACAGTACACAATCAGTGAGATTAAGCACCGAAGCATTGAAGACAGCTGGGTGGAAAAAACCACAAAACTCAACTTTTTGAAACTATTTAAGATTTTTTATTTTTAGTATTTTTAATTACTTTTAATGTTCATGGGTTTGTTTTTGTAATTTACAATATTTTCTAAGCCTATTATTAAAACCCTTGCAGTTTTTTATATGGTGTTTATTACATATAACTATATAGTAGTAAGATATAGTAAAATATAAAATTTATAATAATAGATAAAATACGGCTAAGAAAAAAAATGATCTGACGTTTAATGCTGAAAAAATAGTTTGGGGTGTATTCATCTATCGTTCAACTAATGAATTTTAATACAATAAATTTTCATTTATTTATTGCAAAAAGTAGAACTTCAGCTTACCTTCTTCTGTTATAACTTGCATAATTGCTATAACTGCAACCACAACTTCTACTCAACCTTTTGAGCAACTAAGCGTGGATTTTAAAGGACCTGTAAACAATTTTTTTCTTACAACTGTTGATGAATTAAAGCTTAAACAACCCTTTAGATGAATTTATGAATAATCTCCATCAATGCAAACAAGAAAATTTTTTTTAATTTTTTTTTTTTTTTTTTTATTGTTTATTACAATCATTATTACAATTTCTATAATAACCTTATGTGAATAAAACGTAAGACATAAAAAAGAAATATATAATATTTACAATAAAGATTTTGTTAACAATAGAAATAAAACAATAAATATAACAATAAAAATTAGGAATAAAGAATGTGGAAACTTGAAGAAGTCCTTGAGGTCTTGTCGTAGAGAACCGCTGGAATCAAAACGCTTTAAATGAATTCATTTTTATTGATTTTTTGTAAATGTTTATTTGCTTTTGAATTGGATCTGTTTCGATAAATAATTATATAAACCGTTGCAAAGAATAGTTAAAAATAATTAATATACTTCAGTATATTTATTGATGTGTTTGATGACGTCATAGTGTTTAGCTGATGTTAATATAAATCGAATAGATTAAAAAAAAATAACTGAATTGAACATTTCATGCATTAAAATTGTAGAAAATAAAATTAGGGTGGGGTGGACATTCTTGTTGATAATTAGCTCTTGTTCTAATATAGTTTTTTTTTTTTATTTAAGTATATATTGTGTTTGCATATTTACCATACAAGCGATCATTGGTGGTATCACCGAATCCTAATCCAGCCCAACGATTGCCAAGCAGTTTTAGTTGACTGTTCCTACGCCAGATATATGCAGCACTATTTTTTTTTCTTTTTTTTTTTTGAATATACATAGACTGCAAGCACACACACACACACCCATACTAACAGCACATATTCACCCATATAAATACCAGTATAGATACATATATACACAGATACACATACACATTTATACATAATTTATTATTTTTAAATTATTTTACTTTTTTTGAAATATGAAACCTTGATATCAAATTTGAGAAGATTCCAGTGCTTTAGTCTTGACTCTAGAAGTTCTGCCTTTTCCTATGACAAGTCCAGATCTAGAGCAAGATCACTTAATTATGCTTGACTTAATTTGTGTGGCACATCATCTGTTAACACATAATCAGGATTATTTGATATGTTTTTTTCTTCTTTTTCTACTTTATTTTCTGCTTCTAACTAACAACTTTGTGGAGGAGTGGAAACTAGTATACTATTCGAATGTGGAATATGTTGAATGGTAGATGAAAGATTCGGATATTTAACTGTTCCTATTTTCTTCATTGACAAACATGCCTTAATGGGTGAGGTCAAGCAGAAATAGCAGTCATCTGTATGGTTTCTAGACTCCCTCCATACCAAAGGAAGAGCAAAAGCTAAACATCTTTTTTTATTTTTTAACTATTCTCGTAGTGTAACCGAACAAGAGCTACGAAGTAATGCTGGTAAGCAGTCTTCACAAGAGGTGTCAAAGTTCTTTTCTGTGAGGAAAATGTTATTTCGTCACAAACGTAAATGAAAAAAAAACCAAGGATAGATTAGATTAGAAACTTTAGCAAACACACATAACTAGTATCACAAGTTTTAAACATGAATAAAACATTATAGATGGTTAAAAACACAAAAAAAAAATCAAAAAGTAAAAATTTATACCCTTCAGTAAAAATTTTTGCTTTTATTTCTTAAACTAAAGGTTTCTTTTTTTGTTTTATTAAATTTAGGTGTCCCAAGAAGTCCTTACGGTCTTATCGCAGAGCACCGCGGATGAGCATTTAATTGGAGGTTCACGCCTCCTTCCTAACCAATGTCGCACAACTTGCCCAGAGGTGGGGTTTGAACCACGGGTCCTTTGTTTCTGATGCAAGTGCGCTACCAATGCACCACGGCTGCTCATAAAAGTCATTATCTATATAAAGTTACATCCTTTTAGCTAATATGTCATTTTTGAATTCAGTAGGTAGAAATACATAAGAAATAACTAATTTTGGTTTCGAAACAATTTCACTGTTGGGCAGTGTTATTTACTTTTTTCAAATCTCGTAATGTTTAAGGTACTGCAAGTTGCCTTTATATACTTAGGTCGTTAGGATAGTTCGTAGAACTTCCCTATGAAAAAAGTTTTATTTTATTTTATTTTCTTAAATGTTCAAAATAATGTCCATCATTATCTATACAAAGTTACATCCTTTTAGTCAGTGTTAGGTTTGCATCGGATTCAGGATTAGGGTCAGGGTTAGAGTTGCATCGGCTCACTGCATAGGGTTGCATTTTTAGGTTGCATTTAGAGTTGCATCCTTTCTAGCCATTTGTGAAACGTTTTTTTATACTCTTCTTTGGGTATACTTTCAAGTAGCTTTGTTATGCGGGTTTTTTTGCTTTCGACATCAGTATCGTCACCAAGATTTTTTTTTATCAAGTCGAAGAGCCAATAATCGGATGGAGCTAAGTCTGGTGAGTATGGTGGGTGGCAAATTATTGTAATTCCAGCTTGGTTTAGACAATTTGTGATGGTTTGAGTTACATTTGATAAAGTTCGACCCATGGGGTCGAGCGTTATCATGGAGAATCCCCTGTAACAATATCACATTGCCTCCATGTGTCGTTTCTAAAAAGGGCTAAATTTTCCTTACATGCCTCAACTCTATTCTTTCGATTTTGATAGGTTAACTCGTGGGGTATCCAACGTGATGTTAGTCTTCTCTTTTTAAGTGTGTTGTGAATGATTTCGTTGATTGTAAAATAATTAATCGACGTCAGGGCTTTATCATGTGTTGCATATCATGTGTTGCATGCGGATTTTCTTCAATAATAGCTCGCACACGTTCAATATTCTCAGCTGTATACGTGGTTTGAGGGTGCCCTGAGCGAGGATCAGCAAGGATGAACGAGGATCATCTTCAAGACTCTCTCTACCATCTTTAAACAAAGTAGCCCACTTGGCAACTGTACTATATTTTGAAGCTTGGTCACTATGAACTAAAACTAATTCATCGGTTATGGCTTGTGCTGAAACTCCAAGTAGAGCACGAGTTACAATATATGCTCGATATTTAAGTTTTTCCATTTTTAAATTTTTACTTTCAAACGTATACAATAAAATTTAATTAACTTTTTTAATAAACATTCAAAATATTTCAACAAGTACTTAAAATGTTCATAAATCAACACAGT